CCATTGTAGGTGATGATGATAATGATATTATTAAAAAAAAACCCAGATTTCAAATTTTGAGCCCAAGGCGTTGAATAAAAACCCAGATCTGGGGGTAAAAACTCATCATTAGCAGCCCTGTCCTGTAGGCGTTAGGGTGACGAACGACCTCTACGAAAATGTCAGGTGTTTAGTTTTTATACTGTTGCTACTGCCACAGCGTCAGGTGCGCGGTTTTAGTCCCTCTTATACAACGACATGGATCACTAAGTCTCACTAAGTCACTGACGGCCAGGAAAGGACGCGCTTGAAAAGTTATACACTGTTCAGATACATTTTTTGAATATATATAAATCCTAAATAATGTATGCAATTTTGATTTTTATATCTGCCTCGTTTATGATGCATCCTAAAGTTATGGGTTATATTATCGCGAAATAAAATTTATAAAAACTGTCATAAAGTTTTGTTTACATTTGATTAGGGAATTATAATATTAATTATAATTTTGTTGTTGTTGCAGCCATGCCAATTAGTCAAATAGTGAAAATACCAGCACCGCCTATTAAATTGCCGTTTTACAATAAACGCGCCTGAAATGACAGTGTTAACTGTTAGTTTCCTTTCAAAATTATAATGCAGTCTGTATTCTTGCAAATTGGCCACACACACACATTCATGCAAACTGTTTACAAAATTTGCTGGATTTATAGCTGGAAACACTGAAATACAAATTGTAGTTATCACAGAGAGGAGATAATAATTGTGTGTGTACCTGAGAGAATCCTGGACAATCGGTAGGCAGGCCAAACAATTTTTAGAGGCCTCAGAGATGTGGTTTTACAGAAGAATGCTTAGAATACATTGGACAGCCAAAAAGAGCAACCAAGAGATTTTGAAAGAGGCGGGAGCCCGAAGACAACTTATCACAGACACAGAAGGAGACAGTCATCATTTTTCGGCCATGTTATGAGAAGAGGGAAAATAGAACATGTTGTGACCACTGGAAAGATCTGTGGAAAAAGGGATAGAGGAAGACAACAAAAGAAGATGCATGACAGTCTTGTTGCATGGCATGTAGGTGTGTCGGCACCCGAACTGATACATGCTGCAGGAGATCACAGATTATGGAGAGGCATGATCACCCATGCCAGTCGGCAAGGCACCTGATGATGATGATGATGATCACCTGAGAGAAAGAAAGAGACAGACAGGGAAAGAGAGAACTGCTATCCTCTGAATATCAGTCCCAAAATATCGAGGCCAAAAATATACCTTAACAGGGCCTCAGTCACATGTAAAATGCGGACCTCTTTTCGGTGACTACACAGCATACTGCTGAAAAGCTTCCGCTGAGTTAAAGTCACTGCCGAGAGTATCTCCTGTGCGGGGATAAACTAGATGGCTGGGACTCACGAGCAGCAGCTACCTTATCTGCAGCTTCCTTCATTTCATTTGCTCGTGAGTCCCAGCCATCTAGTTTAGCCCCACTCCACGCAACACGTAGCGGCGCGGAAGATACTTGCCTTTCCTCTGAGTGTCGACTAGATCCCCTGGTCACTGCCAGCTGTACCCTTCCTTCCAGACAATGAGGATCATTTCCTGCCTCTGCATTGTTCACTTGCGCCCAAAGGGCCTTGACCACATCTAGCTTGTTATGCATCAATACACCACCCATTGGTGCAGAACCAGTCAATCTGTCTGCCTATTCATTTGTGAACATTCCTGTAATCCCTGGGGAGGGCATCCAAAGAACACTAACTACTCGGTACATCTAAAGGGATGCTTGCCACTCTGCACAGAGCATTAGTGTCTCCACTTTATTTTAACATGCTTTGTGAGGGTGGTTGTATGTGTGTATATATATATATATGTGTGTTTGCGGGGAGGCAAAAAAATGGGGGATTTCACTAATTTTTAAATTCAAGGTTTAATAATATGTGTCTTTCTTATTCTACTCATTATTATGTTTATTGTTTATTCAACGGATCAACATCTTGGCACACATGTGTAACACATAAGTGCTCCGTTATTCTTCTAACTCAAGCCTGTGTGAAGAATCTCAGCGCAGTACACAAACTCTTGCACCAGCGAGGATCCTGAAATACTTTGGGTAGATTTTTTAAATACTCAAAATTTTGCCCGGGCAGTGCTGTTAGGCTGCTCTTTTCGATTTCCAACTGCCAAGGGATTTTTTTTTACATGCGCCACAATACACACGGGCGTCCTTTCTCACTATCCAGAGATTAGGGTTAGTTACTAGAAGTCTATGTGAAAAAAATCCCAGCCTTCACCGGGGCTTGAACCTGGGACCTCTAGAAATGAGGCGGACACCATTGAAATTTCTTGAAGTACTGTAGGGATTTGAATTATACATATTGTTCTGTGTTCCCTGATATTTTGTGTGTGCATATGTTGAGCATGCACAGTTGCAATATTTTTGCCTACACATTGAATGCTTCCCTGTGATTTGTTGATTAGATTAGCGTTCCCGGTAGTTTCTTAGGACTTTTAACACCGTCAGAGCAGTCAAGATTTATTGCCCCTTCCACCTCAAGACAGTGGATGCTTTCCAACAGGCCTATTTAGAACAGGTGTGTGCACATCAGTCAGCTTTAAAGGGAAGAACATGGGTATTCTTTGTCACTTAAAATGCAGAACCGACACGTGCTCCAGTAATAAACTCACCAAGGAATCATCGTATTCTGCTTATGGCTTGCCTAACCTTACTTCTATAAACTGAACCTGAACCATCTCATTCATCATATGATATGCCATTAGAAACAGTTGAATGCAGTCTGTAGATTTGAAACTGTGATGACCTCCAAACATTAAGCAATTGGGTTCCTCTGCACAGCGCCACAGCTCTTATAGCAAAATGCACTGGTATTTCCAGTAATAAGCTTTTGGTTAGTGACTGTTGCACTTGTTTACACACAGAGCAGTGTGATTCAAGTAGAGCATGTGGAAAACAATATGGAATAATACTTGTTCATATTTTTCTCTAAAAAAATGGGCAACTTTTCTGGACATGCACCTATCAATCCAGACATTCATTAACTGGTGTCTGCGCAGAATAGAGGGAATTAAATGGTATGATAGAATCACTAATGTAGAGCTTTGGGAGAGAACTAAGCAAGCTCCAGTGGACCAAGAGGTGAAGAAAAGACGCTGGCGTTGAGAAAACCAGAGAACAATTTAACTAGAAGGTCTTTGCACTGGAGCACCCAGGGACATAGGAATAAAGGAAGGCCAAAAGAAATCATGGTGAAGGGAGCTGGAGAATGTAATTATAAACATGGGGAGAGCTGCATGCGATAGCAAAAGATAAAACAACTTGGCGTGAGTTGGTTGAGGGCCTATGCTCCATAGGGAGCTAGAAAGGCAGAAGAAGAAGACCCATCAATCCACCATGGTATACTTTGGCTAAGCTTTTCATAAAAAAGTATTTACAAGCCTGGAAAGTTTCCATTTATTCCATTTAGTTACTGCTGAAGTACTTGTTGTCGTATAATTGTTTCATAGATATAAGTTAGATACTCCTCAAGATTATAGAAGAAAGCATTAAATATAAAACAAACAGGAGGAGCTGAATAATTTTATTTGCACGAAGATAGGCCACGATATATTTGAGGATGCAAAATGAAAAATTAAAAAAGATATTCTAAATATCTAGAAAACTTAACATTTATGGAATTCCTAAACATGTTTATGTATATTTGATAGACTACGACAACACCTTTGACTAGTACAATATAAATAGCAAATAGTATGCCTCTAAGAGACAGTCTGAGACATGAAAAATATCTGACATGTTTGGTATCTTTGTGAAA